CTCCAGCTGAGCCTCAGCAGTGCTGGGTTTCATAGTGTGCTGGGATTACATAGTGTGGTGTCCTGGAAGGTCGGTGCCTAGTCTGACACACACACACACACACAAACACGTGACTGTCCACGGAACAGAAAGGCCGGAAGAGGGTAACTGCTCATGGCCTGCCGTCGCTTCCATCAGAGTGAGAAAGCCCAGGACGGGCCCTTGTTGGGTGGGCAGCGAGGAGGTTAGTCAGGAAGGAACTGGGAAAGCACAAGAGCATCTAGGAAAAGCCAGGCCCACATTCTGGGCTTCCACTGAGCCGCTGTTTCTCCCTCAGTGCGGAGCCTCGGAACTGGTGTCCCGGGGACCGTGCCCCAGAGCTGTGCATGGGCTGCGCTAGGCCAGGGAGCAGAGTCCCCATGGGCGTCAGCAGTGAACGCTACTCCAGCCCCTCTGACCGCTGCAGCCTCCTCCCTGTCTGCCAAGGAGCTTTCCTACTTGGCATCCCACGCTTGGCCTTCATCGCATTTTGTCTGTTTAATAACTTCTTTCCCCATTGATCGTCGTTTGTCTAAGTTTGTTTCTCTCAAATCCATCTTCCATATATATGTCTGAACATGCTATTCTTCTGTTTAAAGTCACCATAACCTCAAGAATAAATTCTTTTTCTTAGTTGATAGCAAGTCTTTTTTGAATGGCCTCTGTCTGTCCAGGGCTGCTGTTATCTGCCCTGGTATTTCCTAACTCCGTGCCCTGGTCTAGGTTCCCTACTTGTAATTCTCCCACTGCTGTTCCATGGCCAGCTTCTCCTTAGCTTCAAGCTCAGCTCGGGCATCACCTCCTCCAGTGAGATTGTTTCATGACATCCCCACAGAGCTAGAGCACAGCTATGTGCCCCACTTACATGGTCCCTGAGCCCTCGAACATAACACATACCTGTGTTTTTCAAACCTAGAAATTCTGTGTTTGTGAGTTTAGCTTCCCCTACTCGGAATTACAAGTCCAGTGAGGACGGTCATGCCCCTCATTCTGCCCCAGTGGGTGTGCACATGTGGGAGGTGGCAGTCACCAACAGGGAGATATGTGAATAGGAGAGAATTCGGGGTAGGAAAACAATCCATGGGCCGTTTTGTTTAGGGGAAAGTAAGTAGAGATGTCTCTGTAGAACAGAAGGTTTAGGTGGTTCAGTAGTGGAATCTCCTTCAAGTATGGAGATTATTTTGTGTGGATGCTGACATCCAAGAAAATAGGTAAGCTCTGGTTTCTTACCTAAAACTTACCCACGTATGTTTACTAACTGTGGTAAAACCATTAGTGTTGGAATATTAAATCCATTTATTCTCTTTCCTGATGAGATATTAATGGTTATTTTGAATAATGAAGCTACCCTTTTTCTGTCTTTTTGTGAATATCGCCTGTTAAGTGCTCAAAAGTAAAAATTTCAGATAACAGACCAGTTAGGAATGATTATTCTCATTATTAAAGTTTTCTTTATATTCTGTATTAATTTTGAATTTTCTAGTACTTTTGAAATATGTTCAGATTTTAAGAAAGTTACCTTTATACCCAACATTCTGGGATCCCATGACATTTTCATTACTTTTTAATTGGAATAACATTTCTGTGACATGGCTAACAGGTTCTTGCATTTCATCTGCACTTGATAGAAGGTACCTTTGCCTATTGTATTCGTAGCAAAATTGTTGCATTTACTTTCAGCACCGCTTTTAGGAATAGACGTAAGTGTATAACATGGAGGCTAGCTGCATCTGTCTTTCTCTATAGATGTTTTCTGAATAGACAGAAATGGTCTTTGCCCGTCAAGTTTATTTCTGGGCATGTCTGTCTGTCTGTGTGTTTCTGCTCCTCCTCTCCCTTACCTCTGACTGCAAGAGTTATACTGGTGGGTTTTTATCATCCTCATCATTGTCATAGTAATCACTGCATCATTTATTAGGTACTTACTATAAGCCAGAAACTTAAGAATCTCACACAGATTGACACATTTGATTTTTGTAATATCCTGTGTTACAGCTGATATTCATTCCATGCACATCAAAGAGGTTTAATCACTAGTCCACTGTTGCATAGCTAGTAAGCGGCAGAATGGGATCAGAAACTAGAATTGTTTGACTACAAGACCTGTGTTCTTAATTATGATACTAACATGCTTCCTAATATGTGGGTGGATGCAGCAAGTTGATTAAATATCAATGAATACTTGTTGCCTTTTCAAGGCACTGCAGTTGTGAATCCTGATGTAGTTAGTTGCATCATTGACGTTTTTCATCCCAAAGCCCCTGAATGGTCCAGTCTGTGCCTGTGGCTTCCTGTGGCATGATTTACAACCCAACCCAGGGAAGCCAGGATGGCTGGGAGTGAGGCCTGAAGTGGTTGGCACGTAGGTATCAAAATCAAGTGACAAGGCCCTTGCATATGAATCTCTTTCATAGAGCTGAGCAGCATAGGGCTTTGGGGAGAATTATTTATGAATAATATTTCAAAAGCTTGCTGAGGATGATTGACCAATCTGTCTGCCTGCCTCCATTCTAACCTCCCTGCAGTCAGCGTGGTTGCCAGAGCGATTGTCCTAAAACACAGACCTCGCCATGGCCCGACCTCACTGAAAATCACCAGTTCCTCCTGTGACCCTCCAGGTGGTATTTCTGTGCTGTCACAGGCCTTTTCTTTTTGACTTTTTGGCTTTAGTTCTCGCCATTTCTCTGTTCTCACAATCCACTCAAACCGCACGGGGACTGCTGTGGTCCCACCAATACACGTGCTCTCGCTCTGCGCCTCCTGCCTGTCCTCCTTGTCCTTCTGGGTTCATGTCCCCACCTGGGCAGAGCCTCCCTAGCAGACTCCCTCAGCTAACATGTCTGCAGAGACCACCCCACACTCCACTCTGTTTTACTGAGCACTTCTGTGCTTGTCTCCCCACTGAGCTGGGAACTCCTCAGAAAATGAACCTACATTGCTTTGGGCCTTGGATATAGTGCGTACTAAACCACTAATTCCCTTACGCAGAGTGACACATGCATGCTAAGTACCTGCTGGACAAGTAAGACATGTTCTTCATTTGTGATGGGAAAGATACAGCATGAATTAGGATGCTGAGAATCCTGAAATGATGTTTGAGAGCCAGAAGGGACCACAGACATCGTCCACTCGGAGTGGGTCCCTGAGGAGTCTGTCAGCATCAGGGCTGAACTGTCCACATTCTCTAATCTCCCAGATCCCAGCTACTTAGAGCATCTACAAACAGAGCCCACTTGTGTGCTTTCATATAAAAATTATATGCTGCTCAGCCAATTTGGGGCTTTCGAAACATTTCTGGGTATAAAGTGCTTGTTATTTAATGCTTGATTGATGCAAAATGAGATCAACGGCCCTGAATTAATATAAACTTCAAAGAATGTAACCTGGGATATTAACTATAATAAACTTATAAATGGATATATAAAAGTATTATACCATTTTATGAGGTTTTATTGTTACCAAATGTGAAATTAGTGCTTTCAGAAGATTTTAAGCTGTTTATCTGCTGTGTTTGCTTGCTGTATCTCCCGTGTTTAGTTTTGGTAGAAACAAAATGCTTATAAATATATGCCACGTTCTATTGAAAGGAAGAGGCCATTTATTGTTGTTTGCATATTCATTCCCTTAACCCTTGTGGGATAAAGAAGGAGGCAGTGGAAGTGTCCTGGTTACACTTCTGTTATAAAAACCCTCTACTGAACCTTTTCACCTAGTTTCCTTTAGTATTGAGAAGTGACTTTAAAAAAATCATATGAAGTAGCCAGCAGAATATACAGATCCTTTAAAATGGCTCTTAATTTGTCTTAGATCCTGGATACTTTTGAGAACCTGGTGAAGACCTGTGTTACGGGTGACACCCAACAAATGACATGGAGTCGCAGCGAGTTCATAACTCTGTGGCCCCGAGAGAACTTACAGATCCCAAACTATGATGTCCTTATTTTAAACAGATGAAATTTTTTTTCAACATCATGCTAGGATATTTTTATATACCCTAATTTAGCAGTTTGCTGGTGATAGAATAAAGCATTTAAATAATTGAATGTGACTTGTCTTTAGAGGGCCAGCCGATGGCAGATGTGCGGTGAGTGCCAAGCAGACACACACCAGCTGGCAGCATGTTGGTGGTAGGTGGGGCCCACTGCTCAGGACCATGGTATTGAGGCAGAAGCCAGCTGCTTCATTGTGTTATGATCAAATGAAAGAAAAGCAGATTTCAGAGCATGACTCAGAGTAAACATTTCTTTCTTACAACTTTCTAGTTGTACAGTTGAGGTTGAAAGGAACTTGAAAGGTTACCAAGTTCAACCACTGTCCGGTGCTTGTAGCCCCTCCCCTTGTCCCTCTCAGTCACTAACCAGCCTCTTATTGAACTTCTGCCCACATAGCATTTCATGTAGTAACTCTGAACACTTAGTCGTTCTTCCTATGTTGAGCTGAAGTCCATCCTTATCACGTCCACTTCTGTGACCCTGTTGTATTCACGACAGCTGCCTCGGGTGAGACTGGAGTACAAAAATTACTGAAATGACCGGTTCATATAAGAACTGCAGTTTCCTTTCAGTCAAAGAAAAATACTGTTAATGTTTCAGAAAATAATTCGTTTCAACTAGATATCAAAGGTTTATTTAAATTTTATAATTTGAGAGTGAAATAATCTGTGTGAGAGTACTTTTATAACCTTACAGCATTTTACAAATGTTTTACTAATATTATCATCAAGAAAATAACCAACCAGAACTAACTCCATTTGCTGCATTTACCATAGGATATTTTAAATATTCGTTAAAACCTTAAAAGTAAATAATACAGAAAGGTTCTGATTATTGAAAACAAATGGTATGCATACAGCCTTATTTCACAGTAATAGGAAGCAGACAGTGTCTTGGTGAGATGCCAAATTTTGTAAAAAAATATACTTTAATAATTTTAAGTTTTTAATGTATTTTATCAGCCAGTATAGGTTAGGACAAGTGAAACAATTAAAAGTCGATTTTAGTAAGACAATATTGATTAATATCCTACTTATTAAAAACTAATTGATGAATGCACAAATTGAATGCATCTCAATTATGTGAATCCTTTTTGTTTGAACAAAAGTGGCTCATTTCTATCTCAACACAAACAAAAAAACTCAGGGAAAGAAATTACTGTGCAAGTTTGAAAAAGACTCATATACAGGAGACTAATTCTGAGATAACAGAATCCAAATGATCAGTGTTTTGGTCTTATTTGACCTACCAGGTCCTGTCTCCCATGAGCACAGGAGAGAAGATGGGCCCTAGAGTTGTGCACCTCAATGATTTGTGTTTTATGTAAAGTGTCCTTGACTCTAAGGAGATTTTTAATATGCCTAAATCAACTTTATTTTGAGGTGTGGGACCTGTGCTTCTAGGATACAATAAAGGAGGTTATTATTCATTAGGCTTGCCAAAGTGGACAGGCTGTGGGTGACTTTTGAAGTTCATTAATTTCCAGCATAATGTAAAAATTATTAAAGTTTGTAATTAGTTTAAGAGAAAAAGTCTTCACTTTTATATTTTACATTTACAAGTCCTTACTTGAAATATCCAAAAACCAGTTATGTTTAGATCACTGGGCTTTTGTGGTAATAAGTGATGTGACTGTAGTTTAAATAGTTCATTTAAGTGGTAGCTTCCTTGTAGCTTAAAGAGAAACTGAAATATTAAATTCTCTAGTCACTCCAAACTATTCCAAAACCTGTCATTTGTATGCCAAATGCCATTAACTGACTGTATTGTTTCAAATAATTGAAAATATAAGATTAGAGCTTGTGCTTGTTATTGGTGGTGTTTATTTGTATTTTTTCCGTAGTTGGAAGGGCACAATATCTTCTCCACCCTGAGCTCCAGTGAATATGAGCAGGTGCTTGAGATCATCCGCAAAGCCATCATTGCCACAGACCTTGCTTTGTACTTTGGAAACAGGAAACAGTTGGAAGAGATGTACCAGACTGGATCGCTCAACCTTAATAATCAATCACATAGGTAAAAATATTTTTTCAAAGTTTAGAAGCCCAGGGAGTGCTATCTGGAATACATTTATATTTAAAAACAGAAATGCAATGTGGCATAAATTGATACTTGACAGAAGAAATGTAAAAACAAGTATATGTTTTTCCGTTGTTTTATGTGCACTTTATATTTACTTTAGATATTTCATTATTCAGCAGAATTGCTGACAATTTGTTGTGAGGATGATTAAAGCAATATGGATTGGGATTTGAATTGGTCACCAAGAATGGGTGCTTTTAAAGGGAAGTTGTTTCCCAAGCAGCCTCTCCTTGAAGTTCTGAGTCCTGTGTTTGGTTCTTGGTCTCATAGACTCTGAAAATGGGTTTATTCTTCAGAATCCAAGTCCTAACTAACTAAGCTAATGTGATTGATGTATAAAACTAAACTCCATTTTATGATCTACACACACAAAATCCAGTTAGAAGCATCAGAATATTGACATTGATGTAGTCAGAATCGTTTAGGAAGCCGAGTGGCAATCAAAAGTTTGTTTCATGAACGTGGAGTCAGAGCCAAGAGAGTAGATAACTTGAATGTTCAAATGGCTTAAAGTTACATAGTCAGATTCCTTCTTTCTGAGGCTTGTCTTGCCTAACGGATTCAGAAATATGTCAAGTGCGTTCGTTGTGAACCTGTCCACCCATCTGTACATTAGATCTCAGTCCACTGTCTAAGCCACCTCTTCCTCCTCTCAGTTTGTAGGTTGGTAACACTGGCTGTGTTACTAGGACTTCCCTTTTGCCATTGCCATGTCTGACCAAGTCTGTCTTAAGTGATGGCATCTTTAGCTTCAGATTTGGGAACAATTGTTTACTGGCTCTATTCTGGTCTTGCTGACCTTGGGTCTTTTCTCTTTGTTCAGATGCTTTGCATACGTCCTCTGTGATCCGTTAAGTACTGATCATAACATTTCTTTCTAGAGCAGTCTGTTTTCAAGATCTTAGAAGCAATTCACTCACGTACTACAAACACAAAACATTGGGTTTCCAAATGTCTATAGACAGAGAAGTTATTTCTGTACTTTGAAATACTCAATGTACACTCTCACCCATTACCTACATTCAAAATTGTTAACGTTTTACCCCATTTTCTTTGTGTTTTGTTTTTGTCACTGTGCCATGCCCATGTAAATTACAAGCATCATGACCCTTGATCACCTCCCACTTCCGTCATATGGTATCTATATGACATAATGATATCCATGCCTTTGTTTCAGCAGCATTGTTTTTGTGATTCATTTTACCTTCAGACAGGGGAAGATCCAGATTTGCAGAGCTTGAAATCTACACAATTTTGGATACTTTCTTCAAGGAAAACAAAGATAACTTATTTTCACATAGGGCAGTCTGAGCACACAGCCAGGGCCCCCCAGGGTCACGGAAGGAGTGTCATGAGGGCCAGGAAGGTCCTTCCCATCATGCTTTCCTCTGCCTGCGTCCACAGGGGTGAGCATGACTTAGAATCTCCATGTCTCTCTGCCCACAACAGGTTTGGTGTAATTTTGAACTAAGACTTGAAGCAACAGCTGTTTGTTCAGTTCTTTTTCTTACAGCAGTTATAAGACTGGGGATATACACCCCAGAGAATAGTATCCTTTTGCTTGCCAAAACCCAGGTGCATACATTCTTTTTTGTTTTTTGGTTATAAGTAAGAGTCGTGTATCTAGTATCAAGTTTCTCACATATGGTTTTAGCAAAATGTTTACAGTAATACTGACTTTCTATAGATAGGAAACTTAAAAATTAAATTGCAAATTAGATTTGGTGCTTAATGCATATACATATGTATTAGTGGTGTATACTATATAGTTATGTATAATTACGTAGTTTTTGACAGTTAATTTTAAAGGTAATGCATGTTTGTTTAAACAATTCAAAAAGTGCAAGGGTATATGCAAGGAAAGGATAATACTGTGGTCTTCTGTAGTCTAGTACCAATAACCTATGTGGTAAAATATCATCCCATGCAGTTTTCTGGGTTTTTTGAAGCATGAACATGTGTGTATGTGTCTGTACACAGTACATATTCACAGGTATAATTTCTACTTTCTCCTTTTTTTTAAACAAAACTAATTATGCATTCCTCTTAAGAATTAAATAGTATGGTATAGTATGAGTATTGTATAAAAGTTTATTAAACCTGTCCCATATTGATGGTCAGATGTTTCTACAGTTTTGCATTATAAATAATGCTGAAATAAACTCTTGCTTATATAGTCTTACCTACTGGTCCTTTAAAAATATGTATCACACACCATATGGTGCCAGAAAGTTATACACATATTAAATTTTCTAAAAGAACTGTAGAAATTCACACTCCTCCTAACATATGGTGAAAACTGTTTCCAGTTAAATATGCTGTTCTCTGAGCTCACTGCATTAAAGATCTTTTCATGTTTATTTACTGTTTCTACTTCTATGTATTTGATCATAACTTATGCATATTTTTTATTGAATTACTTTTTTGTAAATGAGTTTGCATTCTATATTTTTGATAAGGATAGTAAAATTTTCTCCATTATGTGTTCCAAACATATTCTTTAGGTGATTTCCAAAAATTTTATTCAGATTTTCTTTTGACCACAAGAAATTTAATTTCATGAGGCCAAATCTGTCGTGTGTTTCTATCAAATCTGTTTCCTGGCTTTCTTAAAGAGGCCTCCCTATCCTGACAGAAACACAGATAGTACTTAAATTTCTTTTTGTGTATTTTTATAGTTTTAATTTTTATAGGTAGATCTTAATTCTTTTGGAGTTAAATTTTTTATGAACATAACATTATTTCTTCCTGTTGGGTTGAATCATTGCCATTTTATTAATAATCCATTTTTTCCATGGAATTGAATTTAAGTTTTCATATAAACTGGATTTATTCTTTGGACTCCTTAAGCCATTTAAATGCTAATTATCTGATCTTTAGCTGTGATCATACTGTTTTGGTTACTGTAACTGTGTTGAAATTTATCATACATGCATGATAAGATTATCTTCACCTTTCATTGACTTTCCAAAAATTTCATGAAAATTTTTACTTAGTAAATGTATTTTTTATAAGAAAATTTTCAAATTTACAGAGAAGTTATTTCTGTACTTTGAAATACTCAAATGTACACTCTCACCCATTACCTACATTCAAAATTGTTAACGTTTTACCCCATTTTCTTTGTGTTTTGTTTTTGTCACTGTGCCATGCCCATGTAAATTACAAGCATCATGACCCTTGATCACCTCCCACTTCCATCATGAATACTTCAAAAGAAAAAGAATGTTCTGTTGTCAGGCTTATTTTCAATTAAAAATATCCCATTGGCATTTTGATTGCAGTTATATTATGCCTGTTTCTTCCCTTAGAAATAAAAGCATATTGTCTTATCCAAAAAGCACTGGCTTGACTCTTAGCCTTGAGTTGTTCACACGGGTCCTGTTGCTTTACTGGCACAGTTGTATGGGTTCTGTAGATTTTATCGCCTATGAATGTATTTTTCCCATTTTTAACTGGAAATACAATTTCCAGTATAAGTAAAGTTACGAATTAATGTATATATCTCGATTTTGCTTCATGTGTTTAGAAACTTGGCTATTCAGTGCTTGCACATCTCCATTTGCTGTGTCTGCTCAGTGATTTACCCTCTAATCAATATGAAATGAATTCTCCTTTCTTTCTGGTAATACTTCTTGCCTTAAAGTTTTCTGGGTCTAATAACCACACCAGGCTCTATTATGCTTACTAGTGGCATATCATATTCTTTTCCAGTCAGCCTGTCTGCAGCTTTATATTTAAAGTGTGTCTTGTAACCGGCAATAGTTAAGACTGGAGTTTACTGCTTTTTTATGGACTGTCCAGCCCATTTGCATTTCATGCAACTGTATTTATGGTAGTTTTCTTACCTTATTTGTTTTTCTCCTTAACCCCTTTGTGCTTTGTCCCTCCTTTTCTTGCCCTTATTCAAGTTCATTGATGACGTTTCCTTCAGTGTTCTGTTCCGTATCTTCTGTTGACTTTTATTGCTACAACTCTTCATATTTTCAAGTGGTTGCCCTTGAGTTTGCAGTCTGCATTTCTATTAGTACACATTGAATTAATATTATTCTATCTCTATACAATGTAAACACCTTAAGAAACCAGAATCTATTCATACTTTTTGTCTTTTCTGCCATTGTTACATATTGGTATATGTTCTATACCCCACATTATTTTTTACTAAAAAGTCAATTGATTATTGAGGAATTTCTGACAAGAAAGAAAAATAATCTATCATGTTTTCTCACATATATTCTATTTTCAGTGCTTTGCGTTCACTTGAGTAAGTCCAGATTTTCATCTGGTATCATTTACCAAAGAGCTTCTTTTGTTCCTTAAAATGTGTTGACCAAGAGTTTCTTTCGCCTTTGTTCATCTGCAGATATCTTTATTTTGGCTTTACTTTTCAAACATATTTTTGCTGCGTAAGAATTCTAAGTTGTTAGGTTTTCTTTCAGCATTTTAAAATGTTCAGATGTCCAGTGAGACCCTTTTTTTTTTCCTGCTGAGAAAGCGGTGATCATTCTCATTGTCATTCTGTATATCTTTTTATTCTGGCTGCCTGTAAGACTTTCTCTGTACTGATGTTCTCAGCCCTTTGTCTGTAATGTGTCTGTGTGCAGCCATCTTTCTGTTTATCCTGCTTGGGGTCCTCTGAGGTTTCTGGGTCTGTGGGCTGTTATTTTCAGAGAAATGTAGGAAAGTTTTGACCTTTAATTTTTTCAAGTATTTTTTCTACCCCATTTGTCAGTTTTCTTATGAAACAGTAATTACACATAAGACAGATGACTTAACATAGTCTTACAGGTCATTAGGATGTTTCAGTCTTTTTCCCTCTCGGCGCCTCAGTTTGGGTGACTTGGTGTGATCTGTCCTTAATTTTACTGAGCTTTTCTAACAGTCCAATCTGTTCTTAATTCCGTCCAGTGATTTGTATTTTTTACCTTTTGTAT